CATCAGAGGGTTGCCGTAAGGACTAACCAAAATGAATGAATTTACAACAGGCTGCCAGGCATTGAGTAAGCACTTGATAAATAATAATAACAATAATGATGATAATCAGGATAAACCCAAAACCAAACTCACTGCTATTGAGTCCATTCCAACTCATAATGACCCTATAAGACAGGGCAGAACTGCCCCACAGGGTTTCCGAGGCTGTAATGTTTGCGGAAGCAGACTGCCACATCTTTCTCCCAGGGAACAACTGGTGGGTTCAAACTGCCAACCTTTCGGTTAGCAGCCAAGTGCTTTAACCACCGTGCCACCAGGGCTCCTTGATAATCAGGGTATAGAATAATAATAGATTATGTATATGTTGAATAAATCATGTAGAATAACATCAAATTTTATTACTTGTGCAGTACTTACCATACCACTTCAACATTTATCAACTCAATTCAACCTCATAACAACTTTATGAGGTAGGTATATTTTCATCCGTTTTACATATGGGGAAACTGAGGCACTGAGCAGTTAAGTAACTTTCCCGAGATTGCACAGCCAGTGAGTGGTAGAGCTGGGATTGGAATCCTGGAGGACTAGCTGGAGCCTGTGCTCCTAGCCATGACACCACACCGCCTCTCAGTAAACGTCAGTTAAGTATTGAGTTACCGCTCTAGCTAGTGAGCGGGGTGTGCAGAAAAAGGCTCCTAGATGTCTGAATGGAGGAGGTCATACTGGAGCCAAGTCTTGAAAGATTGTAGGATTTAATCAGGGAAGAGCATTCCAGGCAGAGGCAACTGCATACGCAACAGTGGGGAGGTAAGAGAACACAGGGCATAAGAGGAATCAGAGGCGCTGAAACTGGCTGGAGCAAGAGGGGATGCCGGGAAGTGGGAGCTGTGAGGTGGGGCCCAAGCAGGCCCAAAGTCAAGGAGGTCACTGAGGGCAATGGGGAGTTAGAGAAGGAAATTCAGTGAGCTCTCCAGAGCTGCCTTCCTCAGGAAATACTCACATTCAGGCAGGTGTGTGGGGGAAGGGGAAGTAAGGGGTTGACTCAGCCCTGCAGTGAGCTCTGGGAAGCGGGGGAGCAGGGGAGCGGGGGAGCTGCCGCCCTACGCTCTCATCCCTCATCCCGATGTGAGTCCTGAGTATGCCTGCAGCCTCCCAAACACCAGCACTGAGCAAGCAGCACAATTCCCTGACAGCTGGGAGCAGCGGGCTCTGTCCTGCTGCCAGCAAGCTGGGCGAAATCACCAGCTGACTGATGGCAGTCTCACACACTTCCCTGACCCAAACTTCGACACCTGTGGACTCCATGGGGAACCCCTTGCCCCACCCCACAGCCTGCCACAGAGCATAGTGCTATGGTGCCTCCTCCCTCACTTGTCTAACACTTTTCTCATTCAAGTTTTTGTTGTTGTTGTAGTTGAGAATATACGCAGCATAACATACACCAATTCAGCAGTTTCTACACGTACGATTCAGTGACACTGATTACATTCTTTGAGTTGTGCAACCATTCTTCCCCTCCTTTTCTGAGTTGTTCTCATTCAAGTTTAATACCCTTGGATCCAGTTCTGTCCTACATAAACATCTGCGTATGTGCACAAAATGTTCACGGTGACAAAAAGCAAAATTATCAGGAAAATCTACATGCCCATCAATGAGGAACTAGTTAAAAAATTCTGGTAAACCATGCAAGAAATACTGTGTGGCAGTTAAAAGGATGAGGCCCCTCTAGCGCACTGTACATACACTGACATGGAAATACCTCCATGATATATTGTTGACTAAAAAAAAAAAATTTCAGAATAATGTATCCAGTAGGTCATCACTTAGGTAAAAACTAAAAAGAAAAAAGAAAAGAAACCTGGTTCTATATTTCTCTAAGACCACAAATACATAGGTAAATGAGAAAAATGCCTGGAAGGAAACACCCAAAACTAACAGCACTTGTTCTTGTTCTTGTTAGGTGCCATCAAGTTGATTCCAACTCACAGCCACCCCATGTGACAGAGCAGAACTGCCCCATAGGGTTTTCTAGGCTGTAATCTTTATGGGAGCAGATTGCCAGGTCTTTCTCCCACGGAGCTGCTGAGTGGGTTCGAACAGTCAACGTTTCGGTTAGCAGTCGAGTGCTTAACTGTTGCACCACAAGAAAGGCAGTGGAGTGGGGAGAGATTGTTTACTCTGTACACTTCTATGTTGTTTGATTTTTCCATCAAGAATATGTTTCTATCTTATTTGGGTTCTTAAAAATTTAAACGAAGTCTATTAAATAAATACAGAGAAAAAGTGTGTTAACAAAATGATCACTGTGCTGGGGCAGGGTTTAGGGTAATTCTCAAAGAGCTGTCACATCCAAGTCCTTGTCTCATTCTTGCCACATCCATTTGAGGGCAAGCATTCAAAACCCCATTTTGCAGATTAAGAAACGAGACCCAGAGAGAAGAAACCAACTGCTCCAAGTCACACAGCAGGGCTGAAGTGACACTAGTCCTTAGACTCCAAGCCCAGTGCTCTAACAGGGCCCATGACACACTCCCATGGGCGTAGTCTGAACAGGGGCCGGTGGGAGGCCCCACCCCAGGTGGATGTCCTGAAGCTGCACAGGCAACTCACAGAGTCTTTGAAAAGCCCCTGGAGGGAGGGGAGATGGGGCTTTGTCAGGGCAGGGGCGGTGAAAGAAGAGCTGATGAACCGCCGCCCCCGACAAAGATTAGACATCATGATGTGTCGCCCACAGAGTGGGACAGGGCTGCGGCGTCACTTGGCAAATCACACGTGGGAAGGAGCCTCGCAGGCCGCGTCCCCCGAGCCTGAGACTTCATGCCTCTCTCGTGGGGGCTGTTCACCCTAGGCTCTCAGGGGGGCTGTTTCCAGCTGAGTGGTGCCAGAAATTCCTCTCTGTTCATTTCGCAGAGCCTCCGTTACTGAGTGGAAATGGAATTGTGCTTCTGAGAAGGTTCTAGAACCTGAACAGCAATGTGCATAAAACCTTCTTGTAAGCGCTGCTGCCCTTCAGTTCTCTTATAAACTGCTTTAGGTGTCCGAGATATGAGGAGGAAGGAGGCCAGAGGGACCCAGGAAACATAGCCAGGGCCCTCCAGGCACAGCCAGAAGGGATTAGTATGTGCAGGGATGGACCAGAGGCTGCTGAGGAAAACACAAGACTTGTGCACAAATCTTGGCTGTGCGATGAGCAGGCATGAGCCCCTCAGAGCATACTCAGAGAAGTGGGCTATGGTCACATGGCAGGATCTTGATTCATTCTTACCACAGGAAGCAAATCCACAAGGCCATGAGGGTCATGAGGAGAGCTTGGATCCAGGGGTGAAGGCACTGAGCCTCCCTGAGTCTGTTTCCCCATCTATACAATGGGTGTTATCACACGTATGGAGACCTGGTGGCACAGTGGTTAAGAGCTTGGCTGCTAATCAAAAAGGTCGGCAGTTCAAATCCACCAACCACTCCTTGGAAACCCTTTGGGGCAGTTCTATTCTGTCCTATAGGGTCGCTATGAGTCAGAACTCACCCAACGGTACCTAACAACAACAACATTATACATATACATGCCGCCTGGGTATCTTTATATCTAGATCACGGGATACATAATAATAATATAATTAAATAAAGTATAACAACTACAGGGTATCCATAAAATTTGGTAACATAGATTACATATCTGCATTGTTGTTATGCGCAATCTGGTTGATGCCAACTCATAGCGACCCTATGTGACAGAGCAGAACTGCCCCACAGGGTGTTCTAGGCAGAATCTTTATGGGAGCAGATCACCAGGTCTTTCTCCCACAGAGCTGCTAAGTGGTTTCGAACCACCAACCTTTCAGGTAGCAGCTGAGAGCTTAACCATTGTACAACCAGGGTTCCTTATGTGTTTACATTCATTCATTCACTTTATAAACTGAAGATGTTCTTAGCAACATTGTATATATTTGTCTAC